ATCTAGCTAAGTATCTGCAATGCACCTTGATATTAACAAGGAAAGGACCTTGGCCGTTGCGAAAACCACATTGAAATGGCTTGATAGGAGAATTTAACCTGGGAACTAACAACTAGTGCAGACACAACATCGAACCGGACTCGGTTAGCTCGCCTTGTGATGTTTCTGATTGAACAATTCCCACTGTAGAGTAGTATCAGAATCTTACGTGAGAGAGCCAATCTTAGCCCCCAACAATATTAAGTGGTAGCGAGCTGAAGACACGGCACATATAAACGGCTCACTAATACGACTTGAACTCTCTGATTCGCCAGGCGAACTGTTTTTAGAGACACCGATAAAGCTTGGCGGGCGTGGTGATCCACAAGGCTGGAGAGCGTTGAGTCTTCAGTGGAGACTGTTGCTATTAAATGGAACGGCTGAACCAAAGTTCCCAGGATGTTTCGTTTTGTCTTTGCTCTTTTGGGTTATATTTTTCGTGGCGCTGACTGGTTGTAACGCTGGCGATGGATCCTTCACGGGTTTTGGCTTACCATTCGCATGCAGAGACCTTTTGCGTTCAGCCGGTCTATAAACCTTGTATTCTGTGGTCTGATGGACATGTAATCATGCTTCTTAATAAGCTTGGTTTTACCTGGGATTGACTCTGTCGACAGAAAACGGTAGGAGAAAAAGTCTAAAAATGCGATGGATATTCTCTTTAACCATGGCAGAGACGAGAGTTGCGTATGATCTGACACTTGAGATGAGAATGCCGGTGCCCTCGCGGTCAGATGCAACCAAGTTGAGTCATTAGCGGCTGAAACATATAAATAGACCGAGTCAGCATGGAAAGGCAAATGCAAATGCAACAAACCCTGGCCTCGGATTACGGACCAACATCCATTGTCTTTGAAGAATGCAACCCAGTTAGGAAACTCAAAACCAACAGCATCTCGTAAGGCTGGTAAAGTGGGCCATTGTGCATATTCCCCAAGTCTCGTGACTTGGCTCCATCCAAGCGCTTAATTCTCATCTCGACGCGTCAAACGCGTCTCCCCCTTGACTTGGCCTGGTCACTTAGCGCAACCCATAATGTCAATGGGCAACAAAACAAACTTTGAGATGATGCAATGTTAGATTTCGGTGCGGAAACGATTTGACAGTCTCATCTGTCATCCACGCAAATCACAATGGACTCTCCTAGCCAGGACGCAAGCGCTCGAAAAAGAAATCATTTTCAAGATGATCCTGTCCCTACTCCTCCAACACTAAAGAAACGAAGACTCGACGACCTTTCACATGGATCGCCCTCGACTCCGAGAGCTCTCGATGCTATCAACTCAGCATATCCTTCTGCTATATCCAGTCAAACTGCCTGGCCACCGGTGAATAACAACCTTGAGGCACCCAACTCCAACCCGCCACCTCCAGCTCCATCATCACAAGCTTCATCACAAGCACCACCACCAGCTTCCGCAGCACCCAAATTTCGACCAGCCATCAAACTATCTGCTTTGAAAGGCACAATATGGGACACTCAGGATGCGCCTCGTCCTGTGCCTCTCCCCAAAAAAGTAGGTCCTGGGCGGCCCAGAACCACAACAGCGAAGAAACCACCAGGACCCAGGGGCAGACCTCGAAAGAAGAAGGTGCAAGAAGGGGATGAAGAGAATCGTGAAGCCGCTCAAATGCAGGGTTCTGCCGACGAGTTAGCCACAGCAAATGGAAATCTATCGGTGTCGAAACCTACACCAAAAGGAATTCTGACTCCCACAAAGAAAGGCAGACCACGAGGACGGCCACCGAAAAATGTTAGTTTCGGAGCAGGCCAAAATCGAAATGGAGAGGTTTTCTTTGAGGACCTGCCGAAGAAGGCCAAGACACCTCGCAAGGCGGCCGACTCTGAGGCAGACGAGCTTGTATGCGCAATCTGCATCAAACCGCACTCCCAACCCCCGAACCAAATTATTCTATGCGACATGTGTGATTTTGCCGTTCATCAAGAATGCTACGGAGTGCCTGATATCCCTGAAGGCGATTGGCTTTGCAAGTCATGTACTCAAGAGGACATACTTAAGACGCCGAAAAAGACTGCAGGCATAGAGGTCCCGACCATCAAGATCGCAGCGGATGTGCCTGATATTGCTAATTTGGAACAACATGTGCGATCATTGCAAAGAGTTCTTTTGGACCGATGTACAGGGAGAAGACGTTTGCAGTTGCCTGGCCAGCTGGAGGCTGAGGAGAAGGTGTACCAACTTGTGGAACAAACGGTTGTTGCTGGTGAAGGAAACTCAATGCTTGTCATTGGGGGAAGAGGCTGCGGAAAGACTACTGTAAGTTTACTGTTCCCGGGATGAACCGAAAGCTAATTCTATCTACATCTCAGTTGTTGGAAAAGGTCATCTCGGATGTATCTCAGGAGCATAAGAACGACTTCCACGTCGTGAGGCTCAACGGCTTCATCCACACAGACGACAAGCTTGCGCTCAAAGAAATCTGGCGACAGCTGGGTAAGGAGATGCAGGTCGAGGATGACCTGGTGACCAGAGTGAGTGTTCACAACACCCCATGGCTATGCTTTGCTGACAACGTAGACAAACTATGCCGACACCATGGCGTCGTTACTGGCTCTTCTGTCACATCCGTCTGAAATTATCGGTACAGACGAAGGTGTCACGTCACAATCGATTGTGTTTGTGATTGACGAATTCGACATGTTTGCATCCCACCCTCGACAAACACTATTGTACAACTTGTTTGATATTGCACAATCACGAAAGGCGCCCATCGCCGTAATTGGCTGTACGACTCGGTTGGATGTTGTTGAGATGCTGGAGAAGCGAGTCAAGAGTCGATTCAGTCATCGTTATGTCTACCTCTCTCTGCCCAGGAACCTGCCAGCCTACTGGCAAGTTTGCAGGCAGGGATTGATTGTCGATAGTGACGAGGCTGAAAAGGAGGGTATCAATACCTATCTCGAAGGACATGCCGAGTTCCAGCAGTATTGGAGCCAAAAGATAGAGGTAAGTCAAAGCAAAGCATATTTATGACTGCGTCAGATGCTAACAACCAACACAGGGCCTCTACAGAGAACGATCTTTCCAGGACTTGCTTCAGTATCACTATTACACGACCAAGTCGACTTCGGCATTCCTTACCGAATGGATCTTGCCTCTGTCGGCTCTCTCAGCTAACGATGTCACACTCAAGATACCTTCTGTGCAAGGAGATATTGAATCCTTGACAGCCCCTGATTCCAGACTTCACCTACTGTCTACACTGTCTGAACTGGACCTGGGTCTCCTTATTGCTGCAGCGCGATTGGACATTGTCGCACACACGGACACGGTCAACCTGGCGATGGCGTATGATGAGTACAGCTCTTTGATGGGCAAACAGCGAGTGCACTCAGCGGCGGCAGGCATGCTCGCCGTAGGTGGAGGTGTACGAGTCTGGAGTCGGGGCGTGGCTGGTATTGCGTGGGAACGGCTGATCTCCCTTGGATTGCTTGTGCCAGCCGGCATTGGTGGTGCCCGTAACCTAGGATATGGTGGATTGGAGGGCAAGATGTGGAAAGTCGATGTGGCACTGGAGGAGATCCCGGCAGCGGTGAAGCTGAACGCTGTACTGGCGAGATGGTGTAGAGAGATTTAGTGGAGGAGGCGAGGCGAGGTTGTTGTTTTACGATATGATGCCCTACTGGCGTGTTAGATACACATCTGTACTCCATTGATAGAGTCAGGATTAATGATGCCCCTGCATCTACATGTATTTTGTAAAGACATGTAAAGAATACCTCAGCGATACTTTGCTAGCATCCTTGGTTTGCTAAGAATTTTGCGACGGGAACAAGACGGCCTTGTGAGATGATGGTTTGCCCCTTGAAGATCTCGGTGAGTTATTCTGGGACCCGAGTTTACGGCACGCGGGAAACACGGCACATTAGATTGTGGAGATGTGAGCATTTCGGTGAGGAGAACCAGTTTGAGGTTTTGAATAATATAATTGAAACGAATAGGGGGTTTCCGAGGAGAAGATCTTTGTGCATCAAAGTCCATCGATAGATTTCCAGAATATTGCCAGATTTATTCCATGTTACATTGGAACTCTGCTTCGGCAATATTATGGATATGTTTGAAGATATCAGGGGGCTTTTTAGGTCCCCTTGATGGCATAATATACTAAAATCTCACGGACCAGGCGAGGGTGGTTTTTAGTGAGACGTGTCAAGTGACAGCGTGAATTTGTAATCGATTTGATGTTTTATGTTGATACTTGAAACAAGGGAAGCTATTTTTGTTAACAGCGAATATTTGAATAAGTAAGTACCTCTTAGATGAATTATTCTGAAGCTGATCACGTCACTGAAGATGGCTGAGATGCTACATTAGATGAGATCAGATCAAAGATGAGCTCGAGCTAGTGGCAAGCGAATACAACAGCACTTCCAAGCTCCGAGCTTCTTCGGTCAGGGAATAGAAGGTTCGATGCATCGAGCGGCCGGCACCTGCTAGACTAAGTACCTAGATTTTGTGGCTTACCGCCGTGCCTTCCACAGCTGAACTGGGCCCTGGGGCTGGAGGATCGCATTTTCAGCAGGAGATGGACAAGTAACGTAGCAGTGTCGTACTTGCCCATGAGTTGGTTAACATGGGTTGGATTGGATATAATAAATTCTTGCTAAGGCAAGAGTGAATCAACTTTCGTCATCACAAATCTTCAACAACAAAAATAAGAGATCGCCAACGTTTTATAGTCTAACCCATAAAAACTTGGAACCTCGGACCCTTTTTTTCGTTCCGTACATATTCTTTGATCATCATCGCTCCTCAACCTTATTGTTCTTATTCTTATTATCATCATCATCATCATCATCATCATCATCCATTCATTCATTACTCAGCATTTCATCATCTCACTTCTCACCCAGCTCGGCACTTTAGCTACCTTATACTGCACCGACTAGAAAAATACATGTAATATTGTGTCGATCGCAACCATCACCAAGAAAAAACATGACTCGGTCAACATTCACAACTATCACACCTTTGCCCTCAGACATATCCCGAGAGCATGTAGTCGAGTTTCTCCACGATCATCTCGCCATGATCGACTTGAATCCTCTCATTATAGAACGCCACCAAATCCCTCCTCCGCCACACGCCCCGGAGGATGAGAAGAAGTGTGTATGGTACTCCATGACGGACCGTATCGACTATCTCCCCGGCGGTCTTGTCTCCGGCCAGGTCTCTTACACTGCAGCCTTCTTCGACTCTCCTGATGGTCTGCAGACGCACAGCTATGCTCCTATGGGGCTTGATCTCCGTGGGCGTTGGTCTGTAGGTGGCACGATGCCAGGAGAGCGCCCGCAACCTGTTGAGCTTGGTCTCGGGGCGCCTACTACGGGTCTTTATCTCCGTGAGGATGTTGATATGCGCTGTAACATGCTCATGGTAGGGTTTGTCAAGAAGACTATTAAGAAGTCACACGGGACACTGGTTGAGAAGTTATCTCAGAAGACCTCCATGAAGATGGCAAGGCACTCTATGCAAAACTTCGGGTCCAGCTCCCCAGGAAGTCTCCAAACGCCAACCCCAACAGGGTCTGAGTCCTCAGCAGTACCGCCTATGGGGCCGCTTCTCCCACCTGCCGTAAGCAATGACCAGCGCGGGTTTGCCCCGGACCTGTCTTCACCACCTGCCTATGGCCACGGCACACCCTCTTCCTCTTCAAATATGGGCATCATGCACCCGCAGAGAAGCGGCGGTCTGGCACCCCCTGGACAACCTCAGCGGCTAGATTCTAATCAGTCAGGGCTTGGCCATGCAGGAACTGTCTATCGTGGCAACAGTAGGCCTGATCATTACACCGAGTTCTCTGGTCAAAACCCCTATGATAACTCACGGACCCCATACGATGAGCGGGAGAACTTTGCAGAATTAGACGATGGCACCCATAACCATCCTCGCCACTACGAAGACAAGCCAGGACCCGCAGAGCTAGCTTGAGGCTTGCATGCGGCAGCATAACATCACCGATATTTGTTTCTTTTTGGTTTGGAGCAGGGGCGTTATTTCTAGCCTGGACTATTATGTCTATCTTTTGAATATCACATCATATTATATCAGGTACGAGCGGAGCACATTGACAATATACAGAATATCGGACGCAGGTTTAATGAGCATAATGATAAAATTTCGTTGAGTACTATATGTATTCATATTATACCAACGACAAAGATCATCCCCTAGCAATGCAAATGCCATCCGAAGCTCCCCTTCTATCAAAAAGTCCCAAAAGAACAAAAGAAATCCGCTTCAGTGTGATTTATCCAACCCCGGGAAACCCTTTTAGTGGGGGATGGGTTCACAAAGAAGATCATCAGCTCTAAGCCCTTGAACAGATGGTCTCTCTTCCTCATCCTTCCTTTGGTTAAGTATCGTCCAGCTTCTAGTGTCTGAGACATGAGTGTGGTGTTTGAAGGGAGAGGTGGGAGTAACAAGAGTCCCACTCTTCAGGGGCTAAAAATCTGAGTGCATGATGGCCCAAAGAAGTCAAAAAAGGTTGTCATTAATACGTTGGTGATGAGAAGCGAAGCGAAGTTTTCGTCGAGTGCTCGTAGGGAATCATAGCGTTGTGAGCCGTAAAGATCTGCCAGTCTCAGACGGAAGTTGGCAAGCTGACGAGCAGATGCTGTGTGACAGATGGTTCTCTGAGACTGAAGATACTCGTGAGAGAGTTTGCTTGTCTTTGCGAGCTTACAGAGCAATGAGGCCGAGCATGGCAGCCAGGCCGAGACCGACCTGGACAGCACCGGCGCCGGCAACGACGACGGGAGTCTCGGGGACATCCGTACCCTTGGCGGGCTTGGTGGCCTCGGGAACCTGGGGGCCGGTGGTCTTGGCGGGGTGCTCGGGCTGGGCAGGGTGCTCAGGCTTGGAAGGATGCTCAGGCTGCTCAGGCTTGGAGGGATGCTCAGGCTTGGGGGGAGCAGGGTGGTAGGGCTTGCCAGGGATCCAAGTAGGGCCAGCGGGGTGAGTCTCAGTGACGGTGCAAGGGCAGTCAGTGATGGTCAGAGTGCAAGGCTCAGTGACGACGTAGTCCTTGCCTCCCAGGTGAAAGCTGGTAGGACCAGTGCAGATAGTGGTGTAGACATCGTACACACTGGTGATGGTGACGGTGCCGTTCTTGACGCCGGTAGGCTGAGGAGCAGGAGAGACAATGGCGGCCTCAACGGCGGCGAAGCCAGCAAGGGCGACAAGAGCGGCAGTGTTGAATGAGTACATCTTGAATGACTTGTTTGGTTGTTTTGGGACTTGAAAGAGTGAGTTCCGGTTGGAGTAGCGAATGCAAAGTTTGTTGGAGTGAAAGACAGTGGTCAAGCGAGTGACTTTGGCGAGGTTTGTTAACGAGTGTGGGTTGCAAAGAACGAGAAAGATGCTGAGTGCTGAGGAGGAGAAAGAAAGTGTTGATGTGGTTGACGAGGCTGCCTTATATCTGTAAGTGAAGCCTCAGAGTTAGACACCGGCCAAGAAGAATCGATATGTTTATCTCGGCTACCCCCCTGTGCCAGTGTGTCTGGGCCTGACTTTCTCAGCTTGCGGCAGTCTAGCCGCCACAAGAAAGAATGGTAAACAGGCACATCGTCATGCGGCTTCATTCCAGTGCGCAAGGGAGAGAGGCACAAGGAGATTAGGGCTCCGTAACTAGGGAGTTGTTGACCTTGGTTACGTGATGCAGGGAGGTGCTTTTTTTTTGCAGTGATTGAGAGGAGTTGTTCTGAGACGTGCTATTTTCAGAGATTGTTGAGATGTTTTGTTTCTGTGTAATTTTATTATTGTTTTTCTCGCGCTGTGGTTGAGTGTAAGTGGTTTTTGAGTCTTGATAGGGGGTGATATCTTTGCATCCAATGATAGAGGGCATATCGTGTAAGTGGTGTTCAAAACAGCCAACAAAATATTTAATGTAAACAAAGTAGAAAATAAACATTTCAACTATAAACTTAATTCTATTTCCAACAAATCCACATGATTCGACCAAAAAGAGCAAAAAGAAACGATGGTGCAAGAATCGGTCGATCTAGAAGCCTGTCTCTTGTCTCTCTTGAGTCTCCCTCCCTTACTTGACTCATCTGCCGTTGACCCCCACATACCTCAGACACGACACTAACATAATAGACATTGTCAAAAGATTAGATTACTTCAGCTTGCTTATGACGGACAATAACAACATAAAGCCTCTCTTTGATGCAATCTATGGCTAATGAGACAATACTCGGGTCAAGAGTGCCGAGGCATGAACTAAGAACAAGCTTTTCTCAAGGCATCACAAGAACAAGATAAAAGAAAGGTGAGAGAAAGGAGAAAGGAGAGAGGAGAAAGGGAAGAAAATGGAAGAGGTCATTGTGTCTTGTAGTTTAATTAAGAATATGCAGTCAAACGTCTCTGCCCCTATTATATGCATCTTTTTCTTATTAGACTTTGGGTATATGTAGATCGTGCATGCATTGATGAATTGAGATTGATCGCTGTTAGACACGGCACGTGCAGTCGAATCGCGACATATCGCGTGCTCCCAAGATAATTTGAGCAAGTGAAGCAATATCCTTATCAGAAACAAGCACAACATTCTTGGTGTGTCTGAATTATGGCTACACATTCCTCAAGTTCTTCAGCCGATCTCTCTATAATACAAACTCTTCACCAGCCATACCAGTCATAGTCGCAGGCACAGACACAAATTCATGATTCACAAACAGACTCAGCTTGTGCTTGACTCGAATTCATTTCTTCATCTTTATTCCTCTCGACAAAATCCATCGGAGAGACTGCTCAGATTTCTTCTTTTTTTTTTTTCCTATGTACAACTGTCTTTCAGCACTGGCCCGCCGTGTAATGTTTGGTGAAATGTACCCGACTCCTCCCAATGCAATGCATTACTTTCGGTTCCTCGACGTGGTCCCGTTCGTAGCATGAATAAATGAGTAGAGACAAAGTGAGAGGGAGGGAGGAGAGAGGTAGAGAAAAAATAGGACCCTGACCCTGCCCTCCCAGAAGTAGAAAGAAAAGGAAGAGAACAATACAAACAACAAAGCTAACAAGAACATAGATGCCGTGGGTTTTGGTCGTCGAAAAACAAAAATCATTCTTCGCGCTGTACAAACCAATCGATCGATCGCACACTCAAGTCCATCCTATATCCATAGTCATGATTCGGAAACTCGGTCTTCAAAACCCAAAGCAGCGCTTCTCGATTCAGCCAAGAGCTCGACATAGGTAGGTAGGCGATAGTCATCATATTACTGTGATGTCACTTCTACCATATACCCCCAATGCCTCGCTTGGCGACACCGAGACCTCATATCTCCCGACGATACATCGGCGGCAAACCCGAGCCGCGATCTAGTCCCCGTAAAAGATTTTTTTCTTCTTCTTTTCTCATCGAGGTCCATAATCGATGAGCAAAATGGGGACCGAAACTAGGAACCGGCCGAGTAAGATCGGAGGTATCCGAGCTTAAATAAGAGACCGTTGTCGGAAAGGCAGAGCCGGGCCGGGAGGCGGAGAGTTTGGCAAAGCGTAGCAAAGCATAGCCATGACCACCATAACGCTAGCCTTGGAACAAGGAAGCCGAGGCGACAAATAAAATACAACTAAAGGCAAGAGAAAAAGGTAAAATAACTCGGAAACCCCAAATAACACCGATAATGCTTGCAAAGGTATGGCTCTAGGTGGTATCGTTTTGATGGTGGCAAACGCTCGGGTAGCCAAATCTGTCAAACGTCTCTATGCAAATGACTCGTTCGTTTAAAAATGAGGCAGATGATGGATGTGAATGCTTGCTCGTGTCACTGTAGGCACTGACTGTACTCCAGTGCTGCAATGAAAGGCTTCTTGTTCTGGTCAGGTCATGGCGGCTCGCTTCTGGATTAGGCTTTCATTTCCCTTCCTTTCAAGCCTAGCAGCCAGTAGCTAGCCAAGTGCCAAGTGCCAACCCTTCCTAGTGCAGTCTGAGGTCAGATCCCTTGGAGATTATCACTTCCGGTTTGATCTGCTTTGGCTTCGCTCAGGTCCTCGGCCGACCACGTCAAACTCGTAGTTTCGCAATTGCTGCTCGTACTTGGGGCTGCGAAGGAATTTTGGTACAGAGTCCTATTTTTTTTCTTGTTAGCATCTGTCATCCAGCGCTTCATGGCTCTGATCGGCGTGTCCGAGAACGGAATTGGAGGCTGGAGGGGCGGGTTTTAGTCAAAACTTACACTAGCCATCAGCTTGAACACTGCGTTTTGAGCGTCCTCAAACAGCGACGTCACCTCTTGCAGCGTGTCAATCATGGCCACATCCTGTCCAACGGCCTTGGTCATGCGAGTTGCCAGGTTGTTGCGAAGTTGATGGTCAATGTTGAGTTCGCACGGCGATCCTGGTGCCAGGAAAGCGTTGTAGATACCATATGCCGAGGCCATAATCTCCTTGATTCCGTCCATGGCATTAGTGTTGGGCGACTTTTGAGCCGCTCTTGTGGCAGCCTTGCAGCTACGCACAAACTCGTCAACATCTTGATAGAAGGACAAGTTTTCCTCGCAGTGAGTATCTCGCAGTTGCTCGCGGAAGAGGAGACGTAGCGCGGGGTCGTTGAGAATCTTGTCCAGTCGCTGGGTGTTGGAGTCCCTAGTGATGCCGTTTCGCTGAGATGCGGCACCGCCTTCGCTCTCCGAAGGTCGGCCCCGAGAAGCAGCACCACTGACAAGATCCTTACCGCGTTGCGACAGCTGGTAAATGGCGTATTTGGTGGGTTGGAACAGGTTGCATCCAGGATTTTGCGACATATAAGCACGGTCCTGAGCCACGGGCTCCATCAATTCGTACTCCACAAATAGGGTGGCCACCTCAACAGTCTCTCGCTTGTCCACAATGGTTGAGCAGTCCATGAGCCAGTCAGTGGTAGCCTTGCCAGTGAAGGTATCACGATATGTCTTCCCATTCACCTTGCGCTCGGCAGCCATCTTCACTCCGGTAAGACCATCTCGGTAGTCGTGCAGCGAGTCCGAATCGGCGGCGTTAACGGTAGTCTTGATGTTGCGGCCCTCGGAGCCAGCAAAGCGGCGGAAGATGACCTCGATTGTTCCTTGGTCGTGAAGAAGCTTATCAGTCTGTGGGTCTCGCTCCAATAACACCAACTGGGTGGAGGCGAGGTTAGCCAATTCCGACACTTGCTTCTGTTGAATGCCGTTTCTAGCGCAGAATCTATCCAGAACAGTGATACCCTTGGGAGTTAATTGCCAAACAGAGCCCTTCATCGTGTAGACCTGCTGATATTTGCCGTCTGCTGATTCGATGAAACGAGCCTCCAGAAATCGTTGACAGATAGAGCGGGCCATGTCCTTAGCCATAGAGAAAGTTGTGGTTGTAGTGGTTGTGACGATACGAGAAGGATCCTTGGGGTCTGGCATACGGTTGGATTGAGAGAACTTTAGGGAGCCCAGGTTGTTGATGGCATCCTCGGACAGGAAAGTGTACTCAACCTTGGTCAATCGGACACGGTGGGCTGAGAGCGGCAGTAAACTGACGACAAGAGTTGAGAAAAGATCCTTGAAATCCTATTTATACAGTCAGTGGGTGTTTTTTTCTTCCTTTTCTTTCTTTCTTTTTTGGGGAACAGGGTTTCAAGAATACGCAATGGCGCAGAGGCTACGCGTGTGTGCGCACGAGGTAAAACGGCGCCTTAAAGGTACACCAAACAAGGTTGGGTAGGACAACAGGGCGTACCTTTGTGAATGGACGGTCATCGTCCGTCATGCGCAACAAGCGCGAAGATGTCTGATGCATCTTGTTTGCTGTGGAGGACTTGATTGGGGGCGGGAGGTTCGGGTCTGTGGACGTATAAGGCTGGGACGGCGGGTTGTTGGCCTGCAGAGTCTGGGAAGCGACCTTGCTGTCCAGATATGCACCCGAGGAGAGCGATTGGTTTGAGGAACTTCGTAGACGGTGGTACTTGTCCGGACTGGAGGGTTCCGACGAGGGTGAGGAGCTCGTGAGCAAAGAGAGTCTTGAAAGAGCACCAGAAGACTGTCGAGGTCGAATGGCGGGCTCTGAAATAGCAGCAATGGCGTTTTGCGTGCGATCAAAGGCTGAAGCGGCCAGGGCAAAGAGGCTTGTCGAAGAACGGTTGTTCAATCTCGAGACAGAGGAAGCCGTATGGCGGTGATGGCTCTGCTGGGGATGATAAGGGACTGAGGTCGGCTGGTTTGTAATTGAAGTTGAGGTTGAGGTAAAAGAATTGCCGGAGGTAGCGGAGGTGTTGATGTGTGCTGGTGGCAGAGGTGTAGGAAGAGGCGAACGATCCGAAATAGAAGAGCGTGGTGTGTTCGTGGTTGTATCCTGGTCCTGGTCGTGGTCTAGTGCGAGTGGTGTATCAGAAGGAGAGGCAGAGTGAACCGTGGGCCTTTGGTCTTGCGACAGAGTGGCCATCTAACGGGAACGAGAAAGGTCAGAAGGAGGGGAGTTTTGCGGTGACGGCAGTGGGAAAGGTTCAAATAAGAAGGAGGACGTGGATGGATGTGGATGTGCAAGTGAAAGTGGATGTGGATGTGGGATGTGGATTTTTTGGTCTGGTCTGGTTTGGTTTGGTTTGGTTTGGGTGAAGGAAAATCAGTCCAACTAAAGGTCAAAGCAAGACCCAGGTGTAAGTGTAAGTAAGTGCAAGTGGGACACAGACTGTGAAAGAAGAGAAGGATAGATCCCCTCAGGTAGGATTAGTAGAGCACCTAGAATAGGACAGGACAGCCTAGGTAGAGAGAGGGAAAGGATAGGATAGGATAGGATAGGATAGGGATAGGGATTAGGGATTGGCAGCCCCAGAACAAAGAAAAAGAGAGGGTTAAAAAAAAGGTGAGAGAGTACAGGTACTGGTACTGGTACTGGTACAGGTCCAGAACCCCCCAACCCCCCCCCCAAAGACCGGCCGACCCTACTAAAACTGAACTGAACTGAACTGAATTGAGGGGAGGGTGGGGTGTCAAAAGGGGTTCCCTCTAATGAATGCACAGGCGTGGCTCTAACTGAAAAAGTCCCCTCCTGGTGGATCCCTCCCGACCTCCGTTCTCTCGTCTGTCTGAAGTCAAAAGGTGGGCGCTGAGAATAGCGGGCGAAATGGAGATGGTGATGGTCTTGGCCTTGGCTTTT